AAAAGAGACGATACTTGCATATTCTATCTTCGAACGTACGTAGGTGAAATACAACAGCTTCATGGCTTTGATATTATGAAAGTTTCTGCAATTTCTAACAATGAAACCATAAGCTCTGAGAGACTGAAACTTTTTGTGAAATATGTCTACCAACTATTAATTTATGATCGAATATTACTCCTAGGTCTTTGATCTCATTACATCTCAGCAGATCTGAATCTTGTATTACATACGGGAATGTATAAACCTCTTTTTTCGACTATAACTCACTACTTTACATTTCTCCACATTGAGTTTCAATTTATTATTGCTACACCAAGCAACAAGGAATTCTAATTGAGATTGAAGATTTACACAATCACCTACTTCCTTAATTATAGAAAATAATTTCAAGTCATCCGCGAAGCATAACCGCTCACAAGCTAAACTTCCACATAAGTCTTCAATAAACAATAAAAACAAAAGAGGACCTATAGATACTTCAACGAGAGGTGTTAAAGTGACTTGGCACATTTGATTCCACCAGGAGTGGTACATATCAGAAATACGCGACGGACTGTGGCTGCTCATTATTCTGAGGATCAAGTACACCTCGAATTTCACTGTTATAGAACTTTTCCATTTGAAAGACTGCGTTTATGTGGAAATAACTTCCTGGGAACGTTTTTCCAAATGAATTTAATCTTCAGCGAATCAAAATCAACGTGAATCGCTACATTCGCACAGGCACCGCTCTTAGAACGCCTTAAGGATTTTCCTGTAATGCTTGTGTTTTGTCTTGAAAAAAGACTGTGAAAGAATCGTGAAACACCTCAACTTCAATTATTAGTACACATTTTTGCGTGAAAAGCTACCCCTCGTCAACAACCTCTTCTCGTAATAACCCACTTGTCAAAAATTAAAAAAAAGAGTAGTTGTCGGGTGAGATCTTTTTTGTGAGTTCTTTCAATTATGTATCCAACTCTATACATTCATTTTGACTAATTTTTTTAACTGAGCACCGTTAACTTGCTTACAATGATATAACGAGCTTCTATTCCTCTTTCTCCTTTCTGAAGAATATCGGAGATAAGTAGCCTACAGCAGATGTGTATTTCTTGTAGATTTTGTATTCAGTTATCTATTTGAAAATTCAGTGGATTCAAATCGAGAGATCTGGTAAACCATTCTATAGGGCCTATCTTTCCAATCTATCAAAGAAATATCGCACTGTTATTACGTAATGAGGAATCCTATTCTGGTTGAAAAACCACCACATTTCTCGATGAAGGATCTAACTGGATGGCATGGTTGATGCTTGTTAGTGCGTAACAAGGCGTGATTATGTTTGACGCGTCTCGAAAGAATCTCACAACATTCATCGACTCTTCTGTGGATGACCATTTTTCTGTTAACTTTGGCTTTATGATGTTTGAAATGTAATTAGTGAGATCTATGAAATGAGATGTCACTCTACTAGTATGTCCATTTAAAATTTTTGAATTGAGTTTTGAAGAGGTGTCTACCGGAGAGTTGATTTTTACGTAGGAATGAACTTGTGAACTGAAGTTGACTTGCTTCACTTTCACGTGTTTTCACAGTTTCAATATCTAATGAAATGATCAGGGTGGCTTTTGGTAACTGAAATATACTCTTGGATGTTCGTCCTCAATATATTTCGAAATTTCCATTGCATATGATCCCTTAACTCTTCTTCGTTCTCTTGATGAAGGGATATATTCAAGAATGTCTCTGATAATGCTGTTGATGTTCTCATTGCTCCTTTGTTTTCTCAAACAAGCAATGTATCCAGTCAGGTTTGTTAACAGTACTCCTTTCATTTTTGGCCACCAAATGGAAGATGCATATGATATCAAAGGTTCTACTACCATCTTGTATAGATAATAATTCCATGTCTGCTTTCAACCCCCCCTCTATCTTTCCAATGACCACCATCAAACTAAGAAACTTTCTATGAAATACAATGAAATAACATACAAGATACAACCAGAAAATAAAAAATTTAAATAATAATAATAATAGCTGAAAATTAAGAAATATTATTAACCAAGTTACGTCACGACGTTTCTATTGTTCGTATCCACAATCGTCTTCGGGTGATAGCTGGACTTATTCCTCCGTTATGTGACTATTTATAGGTCATTCGGGTGCTTTCACCTTCCACACATCCATGCTTTCCGCTCCATTGGTTTTAGCGGGAGATGACCGTTAGGCAGGAGTTGGTCGTTTTTCGCTAAATGAGAGGTTTCCATATGTTACGTATCTCTACGCTAGCCGCCATAACCAGTACTTGTACTCCCCTACATCAGAGGATTATCTGAAAGGATAAAAAGGATTGGGTCCAAGTATAACATCAGGACCTGCTTCAGATCTGGGAACACTATTAACGACCAACTCCCACCAAACGGTCATCTCCCGCTGAAATCAATGAAGCGGAAAGAAGGGATATATGAAAGAAGAAAGCACCCGAATGATCTATAAATAGTCAGATCTCGGAGGAATAAGTCCAGTTATCACCCGAATACAATTGTGGATACTAACAATCGAAACGTCGTGATGTAACTTGATTTGGAATCTTTCAATTTTTATTTCTATTTTTCATTTTTGTTATAGTCGTTGATTGGTCTAATCTTTCCCATGTTGTTTACGTAGAAGCAAGAATCCACAATTTTGTTGTTGGTAAACAACTTTCGAAATTCTTGTTGTTTCTCATGGACTACGGTAACATATCCATGATGTCAGTTCACCTCATTGGTCACAGTATGGGTGCACAAATTTCAGCAGTAGCTGGTTTGCTTGTGGAAATGTATAGTGGAGAGAAAATTGGAAGGATCACAGGTTTGTACAACTCTCGACATATTTCAAAAACACTGACTATTATTGCATAAAATCATGTACTTTATTCATTTCGGTATTCTAGAAATTATTTTTCCTAAATCGTCTAGTTGGTACGTTAAAAAAAGGAAAAACAAAACATTAATTTGGACACGAAAAATTAATGAAGGAAGGAAATTATTAAAAATAAGTAATTCGATTAAATGAAAGAGAAACAATTTTTCAATTGTATAGGCGAAAATATATTTGTATAAAAAAATCTAATAATGTCGAAAATTATATTATATTATGAACAAAGAAAGATCAGCCTTTCTGCCCATATCGTTCACAACTGTAGACATTGATTTTCTATGACATTCAACGATTTATTGTAACCTTTCACAGCCATATAAAAACTAAACTTGAACACGGAAGACAATAAAGAAAATAATAGAAATTTGGTAATTGGATTGAATGAAAAGTAAACAGTTTTCACTCTTTGGATTAACGAATTGTTTATTTTGTGGAAATTCATGTTCACTGAGGATATACTATAAAAACACACTTCAGTGTGTAAAAGCCAAATGGAATAAATTCATCATTTCGATTACGGTACATTGAATTGAATTGAAAATCCCGAAACACGTCGAATTTAAAACATAATTTGATATACTTTAACGGAAAAAAGCTACCCCTACCTTCAATTCCCGTCGAATGACAGGTACAATCTCCAATTTTTCAAATGGGCTTGTGATATATCGTTTAAAAGGCCTCTTCCTTCTCTATTAAAATTGTTATCGCTTTCAAGTTCATCGCAACAATTAAGATGAAATAAAATCATGTGTTCACCGAAATTCGATGAAATACACTCAAAACTCATTTCATGTTGAGGTATTGATAATAAGAAAGTAAACAAAAACCATAGCAATGCTCTTTTTAGATCATATCCTTTGGAAAACTGTGGATAATTTCCGTGACAACGTTGGTTTAAAATGCCTTGTCAGCTTGTTTTGTATGTTACAACATTAGTTGTCAGTATTTTAAATTAAGTTTAAGTCTGACAAATGGTTAGATTATCGGAAATGCATAAAATAACAGTTTTACAAATGATTAGTTACGGAGATAAAACCCGAACACAACAGAAAGTAGCTCCCCTATTTCATGAGAAAATTGCTAATTTACCGCCCACATCTCAAGGAACAATAAGCAAAATACAGAAGCAATTTCGCGAGCTTGGTCATGTGTAGCGGATAAAAAAAGCAGCCGCCAATGCAATGAGTGATGAACTCAAATAAGATGGGTGATGCTTGAGTTTGAGGAAAACCCACATACATCGAGTAGACAGGCATCCCTATAAAATGATACTTACCCAGGAGCTCATGAAAGACGATTTCGATAGAAGAACTGATTTTTGAGAGCAAATGATAGACATGTTGGATAACAATATCATCCAATTAGAGGACGTTATGTTTTCTGATGAGTGTACTTTGTCGCTCAACGATCATGCTAATCGGCAAAATTGCCGCTACTGGTCAACGGAAAATCCTTATTGGATGAGAGAAGAACATGCGCAATACCCTCGAAAGGTTAATGTTTACGCAGGGATTGTAGAAAACCATATCATTGGTCCCTTTTTCATTGAGGGCCACTTGAATGGCGATAATTATTTCGCACTACTTCAAAATGATGTAATTCCAAGTATAGATAGCAAATTTATGTCCTGATCCAGATATCCTTAAGTTCCAGTGGATACGATATGGTTTCGGAAAGATGGAGTACCACCACATCACCAAGTTAATGTCCGGCAATACCTCTATACAACATTTCTCAATTGGTGGACAAGGAGGTGAGAAGAGATTGAATGGCCAGCGTGATCACCTGATCTTTCATCATTAGATTTTTTATGGGGATATATAAAAAGCAATGTGCATAAAACTGAACCTCCAGATTTGAATGTCTTGAAAGAACGAATAACGCTCGCGATTAGGTCGGTCACATCTGATATGTTAAATAATGTTAGAAGACAGTTTTATTTGTGATTGGAATGCTGCCAAGACGTTCGCGGTGAACGTTTTGAATTTCTACTTCGTTGACATCCATAGTTATTTTTCGTATTCTACATTTCACTACAATTTGCATTACATTTTAGTTTTGGAGGTAACCACATGATTTTGATTTATTTTATCTTAATTGTTGCAATAAACTTGAAAGCGATAACATTTTTGAATAGAGAATGAAGAGATCTTTCAAGCGATATATCACAAACCTATACCTTCCATTAAAAAAATGGGGGTTGTACCTGTCATTCGAAGGGGGTTGAAGGTAGGGGTAGCATTTTTACGTTGAATAATGTTAAATTATAATTGACATTTGACTTGTTCAAGGATTTTTTTAAATATGTACAGTAACCGTGTAATAGTGTGTAAAAGCCATTTGGCTCATGAAAAGTATCTATTACATGTGTTGAATTGGATTGGATGAAAATTCTACTGTGTACATGTCAATACAGTTTCACACAGATTTTGAATGTCTGTGTCACACACAGACACACACAACTAATTTATTCTATTTGCTAACAATTCAAAATCTTCTCAAATTCAAGTCTCATCCTTCGTTTGATGGGTAGAAGTGGCGTGGAATGAATCTATTGGGAACACTGTTTCCTTACCAGAATAGAAATGCTGTCTCACGACGCGCGTATCGCTAACCAAGTTAGCACCATAAGATGATGNACATTCAGGAGAGCGCGCCAGCATTATCAACACCATTGACCACTCCCCAAAACGTAGGGTGAGTGACTATTGGGTTCGAGAATCATGTGTCCTTAGCAAACGCAGTGAGCCAAGAGTGATAGCATTCTGCATTTGTTCAACTGAGATTTCTGCCTTCGTGCGATAAGCCGGCATGATTTCGAGATTTGAAAGTAGAGAGGGCTTCATTCCACCAAGGACTTCAATAATCAAAACAAGCATCTTGACAGAGTAGTCTTCATTTTTATTCGTTTCTGCTCCTCTTTTCAGACGAAATTTGACTTGCCAGTAGCTGAAAAAACTCCTGGACAACAATCGACTCGTTCTGGTGGTCGAGAAGGACTACATCAGACTTATTAGCTTGTATGAGACTGAGGGCGGAGAATTTCCAGCTTTCACGATCGAAAGAAATTGAAACAAAAAACTTTTTAGTTCTGTAGAGAAAGCAAACTTCTAGTTTTGTCTTATAACAGATAATTTCCTCTTTTCGAGTTTATTAACCAGATTCAATTAATTTTTGTGCCTGCTGCTTCATCTGTATATTGCCGCAGACATCAAAGGTGGAGTAATTGTCGTGGTGATCTGTCCTGCTGTGATACGCAAACTGAAAGTGATCCTGACGTACTTCCATTTGTAGTGTAACTGCATATTGGACGTCATTTTCACCAGATATGAGAATTTGACCTTACTTCACTTTGCATGCGGTTCATTCAACTCGATGCTCATTGAAGCATTTTAAAACGATTTCTGACTACAACCTGTTAAATATAAGAAGAGACTTGAGAATCCTCTCTCTCTCTCTCCCTCTCTCGCTCTTATAGTGGTCGGTATCATGACGGAATTTAGAAAGCTCTTCCTACAGCTGTAAACGTTTTGTTTTTTGTATCAAAACACAATTTGAAATAGAGAAAGTTGTATTTCATCAGTTCGGACTTCCACTGTCTAATATGATATAAATTGATAGTGGAAAAACTGTTGCTAGTTGACAGTTTGTGTCACACGAAGGTTTGCTATATGCTACTTACATAAACGTTTATGGAATGAGATTCCATACCCATTGTGGTTTTAGGCGGAGACCCGCGGAAAAGTAGTTGATTTTCTGCAGGTTGTCAGATCCACCTGGGAAACGTTGAGAAAGTTGGATATCACGAATTTAATTTCATTTTCTCAACATGCATGTTTTTTTTCGATACAGTGGTGAAACTTATTTTGACTTCAGATAACACTTGATCCATAAAAATATATCAAAAATCAATCAATAACTGTGACAGCATATTTGATAAAATAGAAAGTTTGAGGAGGGTACAAGCAAGATACAATTAGAGAACACAAAATCTGTATTGTTGGGCCGTGGTCTATCTCGAATATCTAGAAGAAGAAGAAGTAACAACTGATTAGTCGATAAAAACTATACTACATATCTGACAGTCATTGCTGAGACTTCGAGATATAACCTCCATCCGCACAGTTAACGCATATATCACTGATGATGCAGCAGACGAAACATTTGGTACTACAAGTTCTTTCCTACCACTGCCTAGCAGCCCAAATTTAGTTTTTTCTAATCGTAACTCCGGCTCGCATACAAGATACAGTTGGTTTTCTGAATGCGATGACAGAGAGAATATCTAGAAAATTATTCGATAAAAACTATAGTATCTGTGCTGTGACTTCGAGATATAATCTTCGCCCTTACAGACAACGTATATATCACTGATGATGTCTTCCGTATCAGCAGACGAAACGTTTGGTACTGCAAGTTTTTTCGGCCACTACCTACCAGCCCAGATTCAGTTTTTTCTAATCATGACTCCTGCTCTTATAAAGCAGAATACAGTTGCGATGACAAAGACGAATTATGGTTTCCGAAACGTTAAGATGGGTACTTGTAAAATTGTCACTCGTCAATGGTACAGCGGTAGGATGGATTCAAGAACCAGTCTTAAGTTGGATGTTTTGAGAATTCTTGTTTTTCAATCATTATTACTGAAAACTTACAACTCATGCACATATTGTTAATAAGTATGTACAAGATAATATATATGCATTCTCGTGCATGCATATGCGCTGAGAATGCATGAGTCACTGCTTTTTCTCAATCTCCTGAAGACGCCTCGATAAATGCCCCTCGAAAAGAGTAAGTTCTGTTATTTGGGAAAAGTGTTCGTTTTTGATATGATGAACTGTTAACGATTTTGAATGACTCTCAACTTGAAACTGAGTGCATTGATCCACTCCTAAACAGCATATATTTCTCTCTCCTCCCATTTTTGT